ATTAAATAATAATAATAAATAAATAAAATGAAATCAATTTGCTTTGGTGTTTTGGTTCATAATAATTAACACAGTAAAAAGAAAAATATATAAGGATAGTTAAAGCAAAAGCAAGTACTGCAGGTGAGATAGATGAAAAAATATTTTAAAAATTACATTAAAAAATTGACATACAGTGTCATTACCTTCTAAGTTGGTATGGTGAACTTAGCAGACACTGTCCAGAGCAACATTATCAATCATTTAGAGACATCTATTTGTCTGGGTGAATGAACAGGTGGTCCGGGGGACAAGAGCTGGGCCCAGGCTGACCCTCGGTCGCAGACATCACCCTTTCCTCGATTTCCCAGGTAAGGGTGGAGACAACGCAGGGAGTAGGGAGGATCAGGTCGGGCCACGAGGCAGAGTCTGTTTCCCCAAGGCATGACAGGGCGTCAGACTTGACGTTGCTGGACTAGGAGGGTAGGAGAGGGAGAAGTCGAAGCGGGTGAAGAAGAGAGACCACCGGGCTTGATGAGAGTACAGTCTCTTGGTAGTATGGATGTACTCAAGGTTTTTATGGTCCATCAATACCAGGATGGGTTGCTTGGTCCCCTCCAGCCACTCCTCCAATGCCAGCTTGACGGCCAGGAGTTCCTGGTTGCCGATGCCATAGTTTCTCTCAGCAGGGGACGCCGAGAAAAGAAGGCACAGGGGAGAAGATTCTGGTCAGAGCCTGCACGCTGGGATAGGACGGCCCCCGGTCCCACATCGGAGGCGTCCATCTCCATGACAAACTGGCGCTCAGGATCTGGCACTTGAAGGATGGGGGCTGAGGCCAAATGGGCCTTTAGGGTGAGGAAGACTTCATCAGTGGACGGGTTCCAGCAGAAGGGCACCTTGGAGGAGGTAAGGGCTGTGAGGGGGGCAGCAATGCTGCTGTAGTTGTGGATGAAGTGGCGGTAGAAATCGGCAAACCCCAGGAAGTGTTGCAGTTGCTTGCGGGAGTCAGGGACTGGCCAGGAGCCATTGCAAGACCGTCTGGACATGGTGGATGTGCTCTCCGTGGAAGATGAGGATGTCATCTTGGTAGACGAACATGTAGTGGCTCAACATGTCCCTCAGCACGTTGTTCATCAAAGCTTGTAACACGGCCAGGGCATTGGTTAAGCCAAAAGGCATGACGAGGTACTCGTAATGACCAGTGGGTGTGTTGAAGACCGTCTTACACTCATCGCCCTCCAACAACCAGACCAGATGATAGGCTTTGCGGAGATCGAGCTTGGTGAAGATGGTGGCCCCCTGGAGAAGCTTGAAGGCGGAAGAGATGAGTGGAAGGGGGTAGCAGTTTTTAACCGTAATGTCATTAAGCCCCCGATAGTCTATGCAAGGTCTCAGTGTCTTCGTCGTGGTACTCAAAGGGATCCCCAGCCACGTCTGGAGCGACGCTATGTGGGGATTTTGCTGACAAAGCCATGGGTACCCCAGAATCAGGGGAATGTGTGGAGCGTTAAAGATATCAAGCAAAGGTCCAGGGCCTGTGGGAGAGGAGAAGCTTGGTTGAGGGAAGGTTGTGTGGAGGCATGGCTCACCAGAAATTCCCCCTCTACTGGTGAGCCCTGGCTTTTGATGGGCAGCGGGAGACAAAATGGCTGGCCTGGCCACAATACTTGCAGAGGTTGCCCTGACGACAACGCTCCTGCTCTTCTGTAGTGAGGCTGGTGTGTCCCAGTCACATGTGCTTAGGACCCCCTGGAAGCGGCTCTGCAGGAGCGCTGGAGCTGACGGAGGAGGAAGAGATCCGAGGAGTAACTGAAGGGTGATGAGCTGCATCACTCTGCCTCTTCTCCCATCTCCGTGCCTGGATACGAAGATCCAACCTCGTAGCCAACTCGATCAACCTATCCAACGTAGACGGGAGGTCATGCAGCACCAGTTCATCTTTAATATAATTAGCGAGGCAATGAAGAAAAATGTCACTTAGGGCAGATGAGCTCCAGTCACTCTGGCGAGCCTTGGTGTGGAAGTCGATGGAGAAGTCAGCTTCTCCGGTCCCCCTGATGCATGCTCATCAGGCCCTGTGCTGCGTAAAAACTGAAGGCCCCCATGCTGAAAACCTTGGGGAGCTCCTCGAAGAAGAGCTGGAAGGAGGTGCAGGCTGTAGTCTGTCTCTCCCACTCGGCGGTCCCACAGAGACGAGCCCTCCTCGTCAGGTGGTTGATGGTGAAGAATACCTTAGCCTCCTCAGAAGCAAACATGCGGGGTTGCAGAGAAAACAACAGCGAACAGTTTGTCAGGAAGGGGCCACAGGTCTCAGGGTGAAAGACAAACCCACAAAGACAGCTGTGTTGACGAAGCAGGAGTCTTTGAGGGTGAAGATCCCACCGGTAAGATGGTAGGGAAACTCATGTGGCAACTCGTCATCAGGAACAGAACGCTGAGGCGTTTACTGGGTCAGAGATGAGGCAGGATGGTCAGAGACAAGTGGGGTCGATACCAAGAAGTCAGTCCGGAGATGACCACTGGAAAGTCTTGCATGAGTACAGAGAACAATCTGGCAACAATTGAACGAACCGGAGATGCATATATACTGGCTTAATAAGTGATGAGATGCAGTTGAGAGCCCAAGGTGGACCTGAAAGCACTGATGTGGCCGGTGGGGTGAGACGGAAGTGGGGTAAGTGGAAAAACACTGAAGCAGCAGGTGAAAGCAGAGCAGGCTATGACACATGATGAATCTGAGTCCAGTATTTTCTCTGTTTTAGCTCTAAGTTTGGTCCCTGCCAGCTGTGGTAGAACATTAGAAAGCCTTTATTGTTACTGTAAGCTCTGCATACAACAAAATTAGCAATACTGCTCCTCAACATCAAAAAAAAAGAAAAAAAAAGAAGAAGGATTTTTTCTAATAATAAAAGATAGCTGCTGCTAGATCCTCCACTGTGTTCACAAGTTAGTCTGTTGTCTGGTGCTGAGCAGTAAGTTAGTGTAATTTGTCAGTGTGTTAATGTGGCTGTGTGCACAGGGATTAGGCTCATATCAGTGAAGCTCTCCCAGCCTGTCAGGCTTCAGGATGGCTCCGGAGAAAGAAAGTGATTTCAATGTAAATAGCTGAGAGGACACAGCTCTCTCAATGGCATGACTTCCACACACACACACACACACACACACACACACACACAAAACCAGTTGAGGATACACCCATTCCAATAGTAAATACAGGGTATTCAGCCCCCATGTGGAAACATCAGGACATGAAACATTGGAGAATCTTAAATTGTAGATTTCCAGTTGAAGAGCTGATGTGTCTGCTGTGTCTCTGCACCTGTTGGCAATTACAGATATAATCTGGTGCGCAGTGCTGTTCTGTGGCCCTGTACTTGCCCTCACGATCCCCACAGTCCATCATTAGACCAGCCATTGTCCTCACGCCTGGCCTCTGCACCTCTTATTACATGCAAATATAGTGCCACTTTATGTGAGTGGTGAAAGAGACCCCAGTGTCTAATGAATGGGACTCCCTCCTCACCCACTTAAAGCCATTCCTCCATCTATTATTGCATTCTCTGCTTCACTGCAGAGAGCACAGATCTCATGGCATCAGCGTTAAAAGAAAGACTGGTGGTCAGTGGGATGTAGAGTGTTGGCCAGAGAGCAGCAACAGCTAATGATCAGATATCTGCATTCTCAGCAAGTTGTACAGGACAGGCTTTATATATAGTTTCTTTTTATGTTTGTTTCCAAACACTTCATATGAGTGTTTGGTTTCCTGGTATTTCCACTTTTTATGTGTGTTTGTTTCCAAACACTTCATATGAGTGTTTGGTTTCCTGGTATTTCCACTTTTTAAAACTAATTTATCTTTTAGGATATTTCTAAACATTTTGCATCAGCACATTAGCTACCAACATGTTCCAGCTAAAGAAAAAGCAAAAGTAGCAACACACAATGTGCAACACATGAGAATGATAATTTTACAACAGAAGCCTATTTGCACCAGGAAAACACAAAGTGGAGAAAACAAAATGATGAAAAGCTTGAAATAATTTCAAACAAAACCTATTCAGTCAAAAATATTAGATTATTATTGAAAAATTAGACAGGAAGTCAAAATTTTAACAGATGAAGATTTAAAATCATTATTATGAAATATATTTATATAGACTGCAGGTTGTGATGTGCAAAAGTGTTAAAAATGGAAAGTTGCTGATCTTTTCTTGTTCCTTAGCTGTGCATTGACATGTGGAACATATTCCACTTCTGAAGGGATACTAAAGACCCTCATCAGGCACTTGTTTTTTTAGGTGATTTGAGTTTAACTTCTTGGACATGATAAGCACTGACTTCCCATCTCAAAAAGACAAATCTATTGTGACACATAACTTTTTATTTAATGGTTTAAGCAGTCAAATGCTGCTAATTCACAAAGCCTGAATTCACATTAGTATGTTAGCATGTTAGCATGATTCAGCCATCGAGTAAAAAGTAATTCTTCTTTCCTTAAGGTCAAAATGAGGATCCCTGAGGCTGTCCTCCTCTAAACAACGAGCCTGTAGGGTCGTCTGTGCAGCAGGTCATTATGACCCATACTTACATTTTGTTGCTAGGCACCATCTAGTTGTCACAGTAATTATGACAGGAGCAAAGGGAAAAGTGCGGTGACGTGGTATATAGAGAGACAAAGTCCACGTCAGGAAGATTTTGTTGTGGATGGATGAATATGACACTGGAGAGTGGTGTTCGATTTTCATCTGAAAGAAGCATTTTATATAGTTTCTTTTATCCATGACTGTTCAGCAAAATTAACCAGGTTATCATTGTAACCATGACAGCAAAGATCATCTAACGTTGAAGAAGTATTTATTTTAATCCAAATCACAATCTTTTCCTAAATCTAACCAGACCTGACCATTTATTATTGTAACGATGGTGAAGAGGCTCCAGTACATTGTTGTTGGTACAGTCTGCATATTTATTACTGTAAATATGACAACAAAGGTCCATTATTTCAGGAGACACTCCTGTGGGTTGTATCAGAGGGCTGGAACAAACGACCTTTGTGGTGGTTCAGGTTGGTGGAGTTGTTGGGATCACCATGACATGAGTCACACTGTCAGTGAGCTTTTTAATGGGGAAATAAACATGAAATGAAACAAAACATAAAGGTGGATGTAGCTGGAGTCATTAGCGGCGACACTGTCACACAATCTCAAACATGTTACGATAAAAAAGCTTCAAAGTTTCAGATCATTAAAGTTTCACCTCAGTGTGTTTCAGTTTGTCCTCGTGAGTGTATGAAGCTGCTGTGGCACAATGTGTGTGTCTGCCTCTTGATAGGTAATGAGCACATACCTGTCAAGAAGTGGTGTGCAGGATGCTGCCTCAGGTCAGTGTTTGCTGCCAGACGAAGCCTTCCCATGACTGTTCCGTCGTACACACACCTGTATGCTGTCCCCACTCTCTGTCTGCAGCTTGACATTTGGTATGGTGAAGATAGAAGACACTGAGGGGGGAGAAGATGCCGGCTGATTAGAGGAGCATACTCTAATGGAGAGGGAAACATTTCCAATGTAGAGGCTCTTATTAAAGAGTAAAACCTGAATATTTATTTGAAGAGAGATAGAGTCTTTTTAGAGTTTTAATATTTTTGTCATAAGAAGTAGTTTCTGTCAGAGGTATTTGAATGTTGCTCATTTCCTTTTTGATTATGCAAGATTAAGACATTTCTAAAATAACACAACTATAACGTCTCAAATTAGTGCAGAAAGTCAGACAGATGCTGAACAGCTGGATATGATATGAACTAAGATATTGTTGTGCATTTGTTGTCTATATCATCACTAACTGTAATTCAATGTGCAGGTGCATGTGCATGTTTGAAAAAAAATAGAAAATCACCTGCACTAACCCATCCGTTTCTGTGCTACTTAGTTGTTCCTTTCTTCTATTAGAAACCAGACTGTTTGGATGGCATCGTCCTTCACCTCACAGACTAGTGTGATTTATATAATATGGTCTTCTTTTAAAAGATCGTCCTTGTTTATTTATTATTTTATGTGATGATTCTCAGGCAAACTCTGGAAATGAGATCAACTGTAGTTTTTCTATGATGCAGATTTGGTAAATGGACTGCATTTATTGTCACCAAAACTGTTGGTTAACTGGCTGAAAAAAAACAAGATGCATCATTTTTTTTAAGGATTTTGTTTGTTTTTTCAACATCCTATCTTGAGAATAAAATTGTGACAACGCAGGATCCTGTCTTTTTTGGCTGCATTCCCTCAATAACGTTATGATGCAAATAGATTTGAAGGCCATCAATTGGTGTTACGTCACTGCACATAATTAGATGAGACTCTGGCTGCAAGTGTTGAAGTCACGCCATTATTGCCTCACATAGCCAAAACACAAAACCAAAGGTCTAACACAACTGCAGCAAAACCACTGGAAAAGAAACCTTTTCTTGCCATTTATCAACCACCTGATCACAGAGTTGAGGGATGGAGTATACCTAGTACCTTCTACCTGACAAATTACCACTGCTGAGGGACAGTTTATGGCAGGAGATGAGTATGGTGCTTTGATGCCCAATTTGGTCACTGCAGATGTTGGGTTTGAATTATGGAGGAAGCACAACAAGCATACACCTGCTATTAGTGACATCTGCCAGGTTTTGAGATCATCTGCAGACTTCTATCGAAACATAAACACTGTCATGAAGATTCTCCTAACAATGCCAGTATCCACTGCCAGTGCTGTTAACGTTGTTTGAAGACATACCTGAGGAATATGATGACTGACAAACGACCGAGTGGACTTGCACTGATGAACATCCATCATGATATTCCAATTGATGCGGAGGCCATTATTCAAGAGTTTGATGCAACAGGCAGACGCAGAATAAACTGTCAGGATATTGAACTGTTGGCAGTTGGTCTTAGACCGTACTATGTACCGAGGGAGTTCGTACACATCGTCGCCATCGTTGTTTACATTCAACCACGAGCAGAGCCTGCAGTCATGTGTGACGTCATTCACGAGATTGCAATATCGGGGGATTCTAACCATGTTACTCTCACCTCTCACCTGACTGGATTCACTCAGTATGTTGACTGTCTCACAAGGGAAAATAAGACATTTGATCTGTTGTATGCAAATGTCAAGGAGGCCTACACTGCTTTAGCTCTACCACCACTTGGCAGATCAGATCAGAATCTGTTTTTTCTTCAGCCTACTTCAAGCCCTGTGTACTGAGGCAGGCTGCAACCACCCGCTCATTCAGGAACTGGACCCCAGAGGCCAGTGAGTGTCTAAAAGACTGTTTTGAGTGCACAGATTGGAATGTACTGTTGGAGTCACAGGAAAATGATAAAAGCAAGGACCCTGACCTCGATAGAATGGATGAATATACCACGGACTACATTAACTTCTGTATGGACGCTGTAATACCAGCAAGGACTGTACACTGCTTTCCAAACAACAAACCCTGGATCCCCAATAACATCAACCAGAAAAAGGAGGCCTTCAGGGATGGAGACAGGGAGAAGCTCAGGTGTTTGCAACATGAGCTGAAGAGGAGATTAAAGCAGGGAAAGGAGGACTACAAAAAGAAAGTATAGAGGAAGCTGCAGCACAACAACACCAGAGAAGTGTGGAAGGGGATGAGCACCATCACTGACTATAAAGAGAAGTACAGCCAGGCAACATCAGGTGATGTGGACAAGACCAATGAGTTCAACCTGTTCTACAATAGGTTTGACACAGCCTCACCTGTTCTCTCTTCCACTGCTTCAGCTGCAGCTTCTCCTACAGCATCTCCTCCACAACCTGACACTGCAGCTGCAACTCCCTCCACACTGGGGTCAAGGCTCCTGTCCTTTACAGCGGAGGTGAGGGCAGAGCTCAAGAGGCTACATCCTGGAAAGACAACGGGCCCGGATGGTGTGTGTCCAAGGCTGTCAACGGACTGTGCAGCCCAGCTGACTGAGCCTTTCCAGAGGATCTTCAATTTAAGCCTACAAACAGGGAGGGTCCCAGTCCTGTGGAAACATCATGTCTTGTTCGGGTACCTAAAGTAGGATGACTGGCTGGGATAAATGACCACAGACCGGTTGCCCTCACATGACACATCATGAAGACCCTGGAGCAGCTGCCTCTCCACCTTCTGAGGCCACAGGTTGAACCTGCACTAGACCCCCTATAGTTCGCCTACAAGGAACATATTGGAGTGGATGATGCTGTCCTTTACATGCTCCACTGGGCCCATTCTTACTTGGATGAGCCAGGTAGTTACATGAGGATTATGTTCTTTGATTTCTCAAGTGCATTTAACACCATCCAAACCCACATTCTTAAAGACAAGCTGGATGGGATGGGGGTGGATCCCTGTTTCACGTCCTGTATTGTATAGTATACTCAAGACTGTTGTTGAGAGATGCAATGTAAGATGGAGGTCATCTTAGACAATACCAACCATCTATTCCACAACATTCTGGCAGGACAGAAGCAGCTACAGCAGCAAGTCTCATCTCAATGCAGTGCCTGTTATTTAGCTGCTGTTGTTTCTTTGCGGGTCTGTTGGTTGGTCTTTGATAGGCATGTGATAGGCTAATCAGAGTTTTATGGTGGTATTGTGTCATAGCTTTAGCGCTAAAAACATGAATCAATCTCTCTCTCTGTCTTTGTGTGTGAAACCTAAAAGTGATGATAGGACTTCCATATTGACCATGCTGCTATTGGACATTGCTACCATTTTTCCATGTTCATATACCTTATATGCCAAATATGCATGTATATTATATGTAATATTGTTTTTTATTCCAAGATTATCTCTCATGTAGCTAAATTTTTGTCAAAGTGTGTACAGACAGTTATTTATGTATACATGTGTCATTTATTTGCACTAGTAATGTCATTCTCCCATATTATTGTCACTCTCATCGTAATATTACAGGTTTTGTTTTGCACTGTTGTTGATTGTTTTTTTTCCACTGATGTTTCTTCATGTCATTGTTTTTCTTAATGCGTACAGTTTGTCTTGCACTTGTGTGTTCTTTTTTGTGTATTTGGTTTTTTTTGTATGCCTAGTCTCCCTTTAAATTACCCCCTGGGGACAGATAAAGTTTCTTCAATTGAATCCTTGGAAAATGTAAGTAAGTGAATCTAGAAATACTTGTATAATGTCTGTGTGTTCAGATTTCACAGGGTTGTGATTTTTTATGCATATTTAAAACTCAAGGTGCTTTCAGACAATGAGAGGCTGCCACTCCCACCTAAGTTGCACCTGTGCCTCTCACGTCATCCAGTATCTTTACCTCAACTCCTGCCCCCCTGAATAGGTGGCTTCAGGACCTCTGTGCTACAGCAACCGTGGCCAAGACTCATAAACCCAAAGCACTGCTCCATTATCTGGGAGAGTTCCCTTGATTTATGATGATGAACACTGAAGTTCTCATTAAAAGAAGCATATTAAATGTTAACAGAACCAGTGAATCCTCCTAGTTCACAACTCTATTGCTCATTGTTGTTTTGCTTATATTTCAGGAAACAATTGGGATAAAAAGCTGTTTATTTAGCAAATAGATTCAGACACTCGCTCTGTTCTGTGAAGAGCTCGCCCTCTTCTTCTCTGATTGGATGTCAAACCAGTGGATTTTTGCCAGGAGAGCAGAGGAAGTGGAGCACGACTGCTCCATCTAAACACTTTCTTTTGTTTCACTTTTACACATTTAAATCCATCAGAGTCCAGTTTTTTCTTTTTATGAGGCCTTTGCTCTGACTTCTCAAACTGCAAGACACACACACACCCTCACACACACAGACACACTCTCACTGAAATCAAATTAAAAATGTCACAATCCAATCCACACAGCAGCAGCAACATCAGAAGCTCCATTGTCTCAGTAATTCTGTCATTGTTCCTGGTTAATCTGTCCGGGTATTGTCTGGATAAATCCATCATACACATGACAATAGAGCGCACAGTGGGCCGTAGGTAACACTGGTCATCCCTGCAGGGATAACATGGGACGTATACAAGTCATCAGTTTATTGATGGTTGATACTCTCAGCCTGTTTATCTGTTACTTGGCTGGTTGCTGAGTACTGGGAGCACTGGGTGTTGTATGCTTCCACTGGGCAGCTTTCTGTGGCTCCAGTCCTGATTACTATGCTGTGGTTGTAGCCAAATACAACCAGAGTAATTAGCCACTTTATCTCACGTTCATTTTTCATTTGCATAATTTTGACACAATCTTCCCGCACAAAAATACAAGCTGCAAATCCACACTTGTCTTCCTCACACACACACACACACACACACACACACACACATACACACACACACACACACACACACACACACACACACACACACACGGAAGATACTTTGTGTTCTTCCACTCTTGTCCTCATTTTATAAAACTGTTTTAATTCACTTTCCTCTGTGGTTCTGCTGCTCTGCCTGTGTCACATGTGCATGCAGAGAAGAAAGAATCAGAGAGAGAGAGCGAGTGAGCATGACAAGAATCAAAATGAGCCATCTCTCTCTTCTCTCTCCTGCTCTCTGTCAGTGACCGCCGCTTTCAGTCATGACAACCTGCTGGCTGCTGATAAAAGGATTAATAATGCTGAAAAATCCTAATCGGGGGGGAATTAAAAATGGAACTCTCCCATTAAAAATTACCACCATGTCAGAGGCAGCACACACAGGTCTGCTGAGCAGGCTCCTCACTCCACTAATGAACAACATCTTAAGGGATTGGTAGTGTATGTCTGTGTAGTCTATCAAATAATATGGATATGCAGTCATCTCTGACATAATTTCATGCAATAATCCAATTTTGTAGGATTAATTGAAATATAACCTTTAATACAGCCAAGTGTGAGGTTGTGCTGAAGCCTCTGAACACCCACAGCACACGAGGAAAAAGAAACACGCTTCTGCCACTGAAGATGTTGTATGTTTCTGAGGTGCTGTGTTTTAAAGAAAGCCTCAGTGTGTGTTGTTGTTCTGGGCAAACAATAAGTCAGGAAGAGAGAGATAATCAAACTGAGCGTGCAGCGGCGGACGGCAGAGGTCTGGCTGGGCTTGCAGTCCCAACGGCATCCACATAATAAGACAAGCTTTCTCTGGCATGAAAAAAACAACCCCAGGTCACCGAGAGAGACACAGAGGAGGAGAAGGATACTGAAAGATCCAGAGGAGCTGAGGGAGCTCAGAAAAAAAAACACAAAGGAGAGAGGGGGAGTCAGAGAGAGAGAGAGAGAGAGAGAGGTCTCTTGCTCTTAAGTAACTATCATTATAAGAAAGCAAAAGACCTCAGCACATGTATAGATATTATTTTTCAGCTAATTTGCCCTTTCTTTGAAATAGAAATCACCTAAATTCATTGAAAAACAAAATGCTACAAAGTGTACAGCAAATTTTCTGAAAAGGCCCTAAAAATGTTTTTAATAATTATGACAAGTCACCCAATTGACACTTATTCACTTATACACATATTCACAATGCGGTCATTTTCCTCTGATATCTTGCTGAGGGTGGGAAGTCTTGAACACTTTAATGTCTCTGAATAAATCCCACGAAAGAAGCTAAATGGTCGAAAAAGTTGACTAGTTGACCATTCCTTTCCTTTGACCAAATTGATTAATGGGCAGATGAAAAAACAGGAGACAGGTACTGGATTGAGGCTTATATCAAGTGGAAAGTTTGCAATTAACATGAATGTCCATGTAAGCGCTTCTTAAGTTGTCAGATGACAAATCAATCTATTAAAGTTATACAGTGTCATGATGAACTTGCATCAATAATACTACAATATGACAGCAGAGCAAATGCATCACTGCTAACCTTACCCTTCATTGTTTTTGTTGTGTAATGAATTAGCATTATTCTTCTCATCTCTGATAGGTTTCATGTTGTGAGGTTATATTAAATGACAGAATCAGGAAGCAAGTGACACACTTCAAACAGTTTTGTTTTGATTTCAGTTGAGGATAGCAGTACCACCACTGTCACGGCAAAGGCATATCCTAGTATGTGTAAAAACCAGCCTCCCTACAGGGTACAGGTGATGACATAAGTTAGCAATAAGAAGGGATTCTTTTTTCTCGTCAGATTCTCTACGTTTATGACTTGCAACCTGGAACACAGGGGTACGACATTATCCTGCAGGTGACAGAATTTCAGCTTTGCACCCTCAGAGTGACATCAGAGGAGAATGGCTGCCATGTGAATATAGTCTATTAAATCATCCATAGAGATCCATACACAGGAGAGACAATACAAAATAATAATATAAAAATGGTTGAGGCTGTTGAAGTTGACTATAAAGAAGAAAAATGGAAAGTCCAGCTGCACTTTTTATGTCTTAAAAATCAAGCCTGAGGAAATATTGTGTAACTGGACCTCTTTGAATTTCAATTGAATATCCCTGCTATACAGTTCTATTTTTTACTAATACAATACATACGTTGTTTGCAGTATGTATGTATGTATGAGTCTGAGGATTATCAGGCAGGTTCTGGGGGTATGTGAGAAGTGTCTTTTAAATACATGCATTAAAGTTTATTTGCAGTGGATGTTGGAGGTAGTGATCTCCTGATTATTGTAAACTTTATGAAAATCACTGCCCCCTGTGTGCCTCTCTCTCCTTTCTCTTTCTCTATCTCTCCCCCACCTGACCCCCATAACCCCATTGAGTCCGGTTCTGCTCGAGGTTTCTGCCTCTTTAAAGGATCATGTCTGTGTGTTTAGATTTAACTGAGTGTGATCTTTGAGTACATCCATGAGCTGTGTCACAAGCCACTGCTGCTGCATCTGAGAAGTCAGTGAAGCAACAACTCACACCAACATGAACCGGTCTCTTTCACCCTCACGTCTCTGCCTCCGTCTCCAGCTGAGGTGCAGCTCGAAGTTTGAAAACTTCCATCATCATATCATAATATTAGATCATGTGCTTATGACCTGTGACCATGACTTTAAACAAAGCCCTGCCAATCTTTCTTGTCATATCATCACACAGTGTTAGGATTTGACATTCCCATTCAGTGCTTGTAATGTCACACATTATTCTGTGACTCACATCCAGTAGAAACCTGACAACCATAAAGCAACACCTCAACTGTAAAACCCGTCAGCACAGGCGGGTGGTGTTAGAGCTGCGTAATGGGAGTGTTGGAGTACGTACTGTCCTGCAACTCCCAGAGCCGTGGAGGAAGGTTGCTGAAGTACTCATGGTTCAGCGCTGCCTGGGCCGACAGCCGGTTCTTTGGGAAGCACTGGAGGAACCTGGAGGCCAGCTCCTCAGCATGATCCACGTAGCCCAACCTGACACACACAGATACACACTTCATCAGACATTGAGCACAGTATATACAGAGATAAAGAACACAACCACCTCCATTTCATCCACATTTAATACAGAAGAAGCTTCCTTCCATTCATTAATCCCTCTGAGATCCAACTCACAGAGCTGCTGACAACAAAAAACAAGCTTTTTAATTATGCTCAAGGTTTGCTGACTCAAGAGGAAAAAGACTTCTCAGACACACACTGGGTCACTGTGAGTGAGAGCAAGCAAAGAAGCAGCCAGGACAGAAGCAAAGTGAACACGTGTCTGTGTGTGTGTGTTCGTACAGGGAGTCACTGAACTCATGAACCAGCTCCACAAACAGCGCCGAGGGGGAAGAAAAGATTGAAAATAAACGAAGAGCATTTCAGTCAGTAATTAGGCATCCACTGCATTAAATAAACATGATGTTATTCGGCACAGCCTGTCAGCCCGCCATTGCTGCTGCGCAGCACTCGGAGTGCTTCTCATGTTCTACAGGTTTCTCATGGCTGGCTCCCCAGCCAAACTCTCTGACAGACATTCCCATGGCTCTCAATAGGGATCTCAACTCGACTTATTGGCAGAGAGACAGAGAAAGGATTAATCTCTGCTGTGCTCATCAACACCACTCAGCAAAGAGGCAGATATAAAGTTAATGAAGTCCAACAGGGCCTCTCTTGCTTCTTTGTCATACAACTGGAACAGACTGTGTAACTCCTTTTAAAGACATAAAGACAAACTGTGAAAACATACTGACCGGAAGTTGTGAATTGTATTTACAAATTGTGTCACGACCAATCTCACAGCACAGCGCTGCTATTTATTTATGAGGTGCTATATGTAAGTACTTTAATTTGAAAGTTCACTCACTGCTAACCAGCTCGTCCCACTTCCTGTTTCCCTGCCTGCAGGCAAATTTCTAATATGAGGTCACTAATATATTTTAGTTTTAAAACTCATCTCTTTTGATATGTTTACTTCTGCCTTCCAGAACCACTCCAGAATGTTTGAGCCTCCAAAACCAAGACTTTCAGAAAATCTGCTCAACTTGTTTTAGTTTGAAAATGCTGGGGTTATGTTGTAGTTTGAACAGGCAAAAAATTAGACCTTTGGAAACACTGATGGCTTGCATGCTTAGTGTACGTAAATGGTCTTGTATGTATGCGTTTTCACATGTGTTAGTATGGATGGAGTTTGTTTCTGATACAGAGCTAAAACTGTCATATTAGTGTGGATGTAGCCTATAACTCCACCATCATGGACTGCAGCTGGTGATGGTGGTTCTTGCTCTGCTCAATTGCAGAACTGCTACATGGCCACTAAGCCAAACTCACAGACACTGCAGAGCAGAACAAGGACTGCTGTCTCCAGCTCCAATGGTATGAGAGGAACGCAGCTCTCGCTCTCAACCTAACCAGACACAGAACTTAACTAACTTTACTAGCCAATCAGAGGCAGAGCGGGGCAGGTCTTGGCAACACTGGCAGTGTAAGATCCAGCGGCTTGAAGGAGCAGGGCGCTTGTTTCTGCACGGTGTGCTCGAGGAAGCTACTACCTGCCACCAGCAGTAAGAAAAAGTGCTCTCTCGTCATGAGTTGGACCCCGTTCATAAAGCTGCTGTCCGCGCACTCCAACATACAACTACATTACCGGGAGCAATAGTTACGGTTGATACTCAGTCATCAATGACTGACCATGTCTGCGATCAAAGATATGTGTGCATGTTCATTGCTGAACATGATCTGTCCTTCACAATTTCTTGATTTAACTTTAAACTTCAGTTTACCAGTTCTTTAAGCACTTCAATGTTACTGTATTTTTTATCTTCAATATTTATTTATTTTCCATTATATATTTATTTCCCATTATTATCTGTTTTTCAGAAGGAAACACGTAAACGTTGCTATAGTACTGCAGTATTGTCTACAGTTGTCTTTTACATCGCACATACTTTTATAGAGAAAAATGGTGCAAAGCACATATTGTATAGATGCATATCTTTTTTTCCAAATTATAATAATCCAGAGGTTTTTCAAAGTTGCTCGCACTTTAGAGCTGTTGCACTGTTACTGTTAACATATAGTATTTTTAGATAATCTGTGCAGTGTTTCTGTCCCCACCCCAAAAAAAACAAACAAAAAACAAACAAAAAAACCCCAAAACATTTCAGGCTCAGGATGTTTTTTACTTTTAGCCCTGAGAAACTTTTAATGACATCATCTGTACAATTCATCTGAAAAGTAGATCATATGCCAATGTAAAATTGCCCACGATATAAGATTGTCAGATCACTCACCACTAGTTGAAACCTTAAATTGGTATAAATGTGTGTCTGTAGTTACTTTTTCTGTATTAAACCAGACCACTGTCTTTCTCTGACCTGCAACTTGTCAAATACTTAAATTAACAACTGTTTCTCCCGTTCCTCTGCCCCTAGTGTGTTTCTTCCTCCCTGTCTGTTCCCCTGTCTGTCATTCCCCAGGAATGGCCTTGCTACCTGTGGGCGGTGCGGCACACCTGACACTCATCCGCCTTCATCAAAATCAGTACAACAACCCCAGCAGATCATCCACTCGTTGCCAGATTATACCAACTCCTATATGGTAGCTATCGGCTGTAACTTTTGAGCTATTTTTTTCTTTGTTGTTTCCCTGAGCAATTCCCAGTGTTCATCCTGCGTCTCCTCTGTCCTAAGCCTGCATCTGTCTCCCTACTACAGATCCAGAACCCACACTCAAGCCTTCAGATCATCACCCTGACTGCCTGTACCATTCCTCATCCCAGTGTGCCCAATAAAACTGTCTTTTAAACCTACTTGAGCTCTGAGGTCTGCTTTTGGGTCCAAACCTTATTCAAAGCCTAATTTTTCCTCATTATGTTGATAGAAAATGTAATTACTTTTCCTACAAAACGTATTTGATGTTGCAGTTTAGTTGTACAGAAACATAATTTTGTTGGAGAGAGGGTTGATTTACAGACATGTTACACCTGAGACAGTCCAGTCCAGAAATCGATTTTTTAAAAGCTGATATAAACAGGAATATTTCATGTATGATATGAAATAATTTTTCATTAGAATTACAATTATCTAAATATATGAAGTGAGTCACTACCATTGTTATAAAGTTGGATTTTGAAGAAGGTTGTTTCTTAATTTTTTTTGCCTTTGATTTAACCGGGGAGGTGCTGGCGGGAGCCAGGCTCTCTTCGTCAGGTAGACACTGACACACATTCACACCTTGAGGCTGCTCAGTGCAACCGCAGTGTCTCATCTGTAAACCAATGAGCCGCCCCACAGGAACAGTTGGGGGTTAAGGACATTGGTCAATGGCATCTCAGTAGCGGTAAAGACCGAGGGGCACGAGCTTGTCTGTCACTTTCCTCTCTTATACCCTGAAAGACGGTTTTGATGCTACAAGACCCAGCATGCACTGCAAAGGGTGCTCTAACCTGTGCACCAACCTCTACTTCCAGTTCAACAGCGGACCAGCTGATGAACATCTCAAGATAAATAAGGAGGTTAAGGCCCCACTTACTTTAAATATACACAAAAGTCTCCTTATTTTAGAATATAGCAGATGAAAATGATGAATAATATCAACAAGTTGAAGGAAAGGATACACCTCATGAAGAAGCTTAACGTTTTGATAGTTGAATGTTTTATATAGCACAACGTATGCAGGAGTAGTTAACAACAGAAGGAAAGTAAAAGGAGGATCTGGAGTATAACATCAATGGAGCAGGTAAAGTTCAACATGTCTGCTTCTGTATTTACTGTTGTTCTGTCCAGTTTGAAATGGTATCTCCCTCTATGACTACTAATTTGTAAAAACCGTTCTGTCTATTTGTATCTGTTTGTGTGCATTTGAGTATCAGAGGAGTCTCTAATCAGGTAATTTGACCCAGATGTCTGCGACCTCCCTCCACTCAGAAGTTGCCATGGTGTCAATGCTGTCTCACTGGGTGCCCAACTGTCTTTTTCTTTGAAAAATGTAGCACCTGGAAAACACTGTTTAATGGTAATCCACCAATCAGTATGAGCTCCAAAGGTAATCGACCAATCACAATGAGCTCCAAAAGTAATCCACCAATTAGAATACATACAATGTGGAGTCAGTTAGATTTCAAACTGAAATTAACAGCCAAATGTTTCCTGTCTGTCTACCTGTCTACCTTTCTATGTGTCCGTTTGTATGTTTGCATGTGTGTGTGTTTGTGTGTAAGAGAGAGAGTCTAGCTGTTGAAGACACAGAGCTCATACAAATCTATGGGAGAAAGGGGTCAGCGAATCTCTCAAACTCCTGCCATTTAATACAAAATGATACACAATATCAGCAAAATTATCACATGGTCAGAGCCACAAGACTCTCCTGAACACCTCTATGTGGTTTTGGTGTTTATAGAGCCAAAATGTGGAAATAGGAGGGAGTTACAAAGAAGGGGTAATTTCTGGTTTCCACTCCTGAATTTGTATTGCAGTCTATGGGAGAGTTTGAGGGTGCTCGCATCACATTTCAAATTCTGTTAGTCTCTGTGCTATGGTAGACACTTTGTATGAAACAGAGCAAATTTGTCTACTAATGAGGAAGAAATGATATGTGAAGACCAAAATATGTGGTCGAGTTACACAGATTTTTTTCAGAAAGAATTTGGAGCTTCTCCCACTGTAGCGATGTCAACCACACCAGCACCAAACATTCCGTGCAATACACACAAAATTTGAAAAACAGAAAAACATGTTAGTTCAAAGCTAAATGGCCTAAATTGGCTGAAAAAAAAACCTAAGAAAGAAGAAATGCACAATCAAAGCTTTTACTGTCACATCTGAAGGAGATTACTGACGAAATGCTAAAAAGGTTGAAAAAGCAGCTCATATTACCTTGAAATGTTAAACTGGAGGAGCTGAAGTCTAGTAGCTGCAAAAGCTGAGAACTGAAACATGTTGTTGAGACAGTTGAAAGCCAAATTATTTACTGCCAAAGGTGTAAGTATAAAT